AATATATATGTATGTATTTAAATGGTAAATGGACTGTACTTATACAGCGCCTATCTTATTTCAAGATACTCAAAGCGCTTTACACTATAATCTGTGTCCTCATTTACCCGTTCATACAGCACTCGACTAGATCTCTACAAAGTTAATTGAACAAATCATTCTAAAGAGACTAATCAGAGCTTTATCACATTCATACACCGATGGGACACACATCAGAGGCTATAAGGGGTTCAGTGTCTTGCCCAGGGACACTTCGGCATGTGACTGCTGGTGGATTCGAACTCCCAACTTTTGCATTGGAGGACAACTGCTCTAACCACTCAGCCACAGCCGCCTCATTTATGCTGCAGATTGAATTCCAACAACAAAAGCATCCAATTTGGAAAAAAAAAAAACCTGCTAAAAATTGACATAGTCATTTTTCACCTCAAAGACAACCGTAAAACAAACAAAAAACAACCACGGAAAAACCAAAGACCAAGCTTTTACATAGAGCCTCCGTCAGTTGTCCAACTTAATTCCCTGCATTAAGGGTTTCAACACTCCTCGACACAGTCACACTGATAAAATGAAACACAAGACACAATGTTTTTAAATGAGGCCTATACCACATTTAAAGAGAAGCTCACTCCGACGACTTTTCTGGATGCAAAAAGGTTAACGAGCTCCTCATTAAAGTCAGGTGATCTCTGGATGAATTCCTGTTCAATAGATGGTGAGGCCAGCACGTTCAGTCTGCCGTGTGCCATGTTGCTGCGGAGAAACGACTTGATTCTCTTCAATGTGCTGAAACACCTTTCTGACTCTCCAGAAGTCATCAGGGTTGTGATGGCTATTTGATCAGTGACATCACTAAAATAAAGTATTTTGTGAAAATAAAATAAAAGGGTTTACCACAGAGAATAAAACCTAAATAAATTAAATACAAATAAAATGTTCGTATTATTATAGATGCAAGAATGTCTTGTAGATGTGTATTTTATCTTCAAAGTCCAAGCAGAAAACTGGGTCACAGCTTTTCCCAAACTTATAAAAAGAAACATGTTTGACAGCAAGGAGGTGCAGGTGAAGCAGGTGGAGAGATGTAGCAGGACCGGTGGAGCTCCCGAGTTTGACCAGGAGAGATCTCTCTTCCTCGAATGAAATACGTGAAATTTATTTATTTATTTCAAAGTCTATTTATTTTCCTACGTAAAGTCTAATCAGTGAGACGATTCAGTTTTGTTTGGTGTTAATTTTCATGAAGGAGTGTGTGAGTGGCGGATTGTTTTGAAGTTTCGGTCAGAACAGATGATTTCTGTTTATCCAGCATGCTCCACCCTCCTGCACTTCAGATCTGACGTGCCCGAGAGAGTTTTATTTTACTGTTGTTTACAAATTGCTCTTTAACATACTCACATTTTTAACCTTTGAAAAATAATTTAAAGAACTCTCTTGTGCATGTATACGCTCTGTTTAGACAGGGGTTTGTTGCAGGTGTATTGTACAGCAGGTCCATTCAAGGAGAAGACGGTACGAGGTGCCGCTGCAGTGAGCCCAGATTATGACCAGTGCTCGTTTTTAAGTAGATTATACAGCATTCAGTTCAACGCTCGTCGCCTGGTCATTATTAAACATAACGCAGAGTGAACTATAAGAAGAATAAAAAAGAACTGACAGGTTTATATTATTTGAACCGAGCTGAATTAATATCCGGCCAAGTTCAACACAGTTACACAGCACAGTTTTCTCTTTCCTGAATTTGAAAATTCTTAGGTCAGTCCGACCCCATCAGGGAGTGCTAATCCCTCCTAGCCCATTGAAACCAGCCGTCACTGCTCTTTTCACCTCTACTACATTCTTTGCCAACTCCTCCTTCAGGACCACCCTACTCCATTTCTCTTTCTATTCACACCAAGGTCAAACAGTTTGAGCCCTGCTCCAACGCTGCGAGCCTTGCTGCCCTTCCACTTGGTCTCTTGGACACATAAAACATCTACCTTCCTTCTCTGCATCATTTCAGCCAGCTCTCTACAAGTCCTACATTTTTGACTTTCCTCTTCTTCCTCTGTCTCCTGACAATTTTCCCTCATTGTAGTCTTCGACTAACAGTAGCACAATTTCCGATGGCACCCCGTGTGTTAACAATCATTCAAAATTTATTTATACAGATTAGTGTCATTGAGCCTTGAGGATTCATTTACAAGGAAGTAACAGCACCCGTGGTGGTCAGTGTTAACCCACGCCTCCAACAATCTGGTATGGTGGCATTTTGATGACCTTGCATATTTGTTTTGGCAACAGTGTTTTTATGTCAGTTGCCCTTCATGACACAACCCTCATCGTTTACCCAGGCTTAAGTCTGACATGAGATAGTAAAATCCAAACTGTAGTTTAAACCACTTTTTGGTAAAACTATGGATAAGGAAAAGATAGGAAGGCTGATAGCTTATAATTCATGTTGAAGTATGATAAACTAAGAAACTTTTCAACTAATGATCGACACAGTTTTTCTGCCATTTAATTTACAATTTATCTCATCCTATAATTTATCATGTTGACTTTATTTTTCTTAATATAGAATATTGTAATTGTGTCCAGCGACAGTTTTGTTAAGGAAACAGTGGAACAGTATGCTCCAGAGATTAGATACAGTATTCAGAGGAGGGGCAGATATTAAAAAAACCTCTTAACTATTCAGTTTTTACATTTCAAAAATGACAGAATACCTACTCTACGGTCACAAAAAGGGACTGCAGACCGATTGTTGTTCTAACGCTGCAGATTTTCACTGTTTAATGGATGAACAGAAACAGTAGATAAGAAAAAAATACATGGATAATGAGGTAAATATTTCCTACATAACTCTGGGGGGGTATGTGGAAATGAACAAATACAGATATATATATTTTGTTATTATGTTTACAGTATATATTTTAATAATCTGTTGTAATTCTATCATTGTGTATCTGATTTGGACAAACAAAACCCTCCATGAGCCCATGTACATTTTCATTGCAGCTTTGTTATGTAACTCTCTCGTTTACAGCACCACTGTTTACCCAAAGCTCCTGATTGACTTTTTATCTGAAAAACAGATAATATCATATTCCGTTTGTCTTTTCCAATTTTTTTTATTTTACTCTGTAGGTGGTACAGAGTTTTTATTGTTGGCAGCTATGGCATTTGACAGATATGTGTCTATATGTAAACCTCTGAGATATACAACAATCATGAGGAAAACCACAGTGAATGCATTTGTAGTTCTAGCCTGGATTTTACCTCCTTGTCAAATTGCAGTTGAAACATATTTTATTGCCAAATCAAAGCTGTGTAACTTAAATTTGAATGGAATATTTTGTAACAATGCCATTTTCAAACTTCAGTGTGTCAGATCCAAACCACTAACTGTTATTGGGGTTGTTGCTTTATTAGATGTTGCAATACTTCCAATGCTTTTCACAGTTTTTACATATATAAATATAGTTATAACATCTTATCAAAAGTGTAAAACCTTCAGAAGAAAGGCTGCTGAAACCTGCATACCACACCTGTTAGTGTTATTCAACTTCTCCTATTTGGCTGCATATGATGTAATTATAGCTCGAGTGGAATCTGATTTTCCTGAAATTGCTCGCTTTATAATGACATTGCAAGTACTTTTATATCATCCTCTGTTTAATCCATTCATATATGGGCTCAAAATGAAAGAAATTTCTAAACGTTTAAAATCATTCTGTTTACAAAAAAGCTAAAAGTAAATGTTTTTGAAGTATAGCAACTCACTTTTTGGGGTTGTAAGCTCAATCATCCACATAGATAGCAACAAAAAATGTTACATTTCTGAACCACTTTGGCCTTGGTTGTCCTCAGGCTGTTTCTGTGAGTAGCAAGTTGGGCATCTGGCCTAAAACATTTGATTGTTGCACAAGATGATTGTTTTGGATGGATGTGTTATGCACATGTTAAAAGCCTACTTTTGAGATTCCAACAGGAGGAAACACTGCAGTGAAGGCTACCTCTGGGACAGATCTGGTTGGCAGTCCGTAGACTGAGGAAGTCTTCTGGATGGGGGATGAAACGTTTCTCATTTAAAGAAACTGGTCCAGATGACACGATTTAACCTTTTTTGTTGTTCACTTTTTGGGGATGTTCAAAAGTATAGTCTGTATTTGTTCCTCTGATTATGACTGCATTCAAATAGTTATGGTATCAAGAAAACTTGGGAGTAAAGTCACAGAAAATGCTGCATGAAATTTTTGTCCTGTTAAATTATTTTATTGTTTCCCTGTTTGCGTTTGTTGTGGTAAGTATGTCATGGGATGAAAAAAATATTAAAAAAATGCGTGTTGCATAAAATCTGGATGATCATTTTAAAACACTGTTTTTAGTCTAATTATGCATAGATATTTTGGGAGGGAAAAAACATGGACATATATTTGCATGAAAGAATTTCCTTAAAGGAAATATTTTTTGGTCATTACGCCTCAAGCATATCTGTTGGGTGTGATAGCACAGCGCTTATATAAGTTACATGCTCCAAACATTATTTTCCTCACAGTATGTTTGTCACCAGCCTTGTTTTTTTGTCAGTTTGTGACAACTTTTGTTTACTGAATTCAGATATTTTCTGTTGAATGCCTTGTTCATTGTGGCAGTTTTTTTGTTTTTAGTTCATTTTCTGTGTTGCAATCAGTTACAGCCTTTCCTCCCTCAGTTCCTCAGTCTGCTCCTCTCACTTGAACCTGTTGCCACTGCTGTAATTAACTCCAGCCTTACTAAGCTCCACTCCCAGTTTACCTACAGTCTATTATGTTCTTCATGTTATGGCTTTCCCTCAGTTCTCTCTTAGGAGTTGCAGTGTTTTTGCTGTGCCCCATCAGTCTTTTTTTTATTTTTTTATTTTACTCCTTGGTCTGACTTTTCTTTTTTAAAACAGGAGAAACTTTATTTAGATTTTTAATTTCAAAACTATTCAAAATGTTGATATTCTCTTTATATTAGCAGTTTTTTTTTCTCTTACGAGGTGCGTACTCATAACGTGTTCTCGTATTATTTTCTTTAATGAGGTGGAACCATATATTCCATGTCACGATTTTCAACAAGTGTGCATGTGTGGTGTTCTTTATTTATTTGTTTACTGAGCTCATAAGTTTATGAAATGTGTTGGGGGGGGGGGGGGGGGCAGAGGTTAGAGAAGGTGGGCCTGTGATCAGAAGATTGCTGATTAACTCCCGCAACCAACAACCTCAAAATGTTGGTGGAAAAGGTGAAACACTCACCCCTGCCTCCACCCTCAACTGCCCCACTCTGGGCCCTTGAGCAAGGCCCTTAACCCCCACCATCTGCTTCCCCAGGCACCCTACATGGCAGCTCTCTGTTCCACTCAGAGGGCTGTGGTAGCTCGGTGGTCTGTGGTTGTGTCAGGAAGGACATCCGGCGTAAAAATAATTTCCAAGTCTTTGTGGGACTTAGTTTGCTTCTTCCCTGAAGAAGTGAGCAGCCGAAAGAAAAAAGTTTATGAAATGTGCCTTTTTACCAGAAATGCAAAGATACACATACTAAAGATAAGAACAACGTGCAGAAAGCTGCTGAAGCTACTGACATATTTTAGTGTCAGTATGTGTTAGACTAAAATCCTGGATAAATCAGTGTGTGTTACAGGTCTAAAAGATAAGACTGAATAAAAGGTTCTTCAACAGCATTTTTGGTAAATGATGCAACACACTGAAGACCATCTATGCAATGCATCTACTACAGAGTAACCAGTGTCAAACTGACTTTTCAATCTAAATGCACACAGAACAATTAGAATTTTTACTTTACATTTAATCAGCACGTGGCCGTTCCTACATGAGGAAACAACACGCCGGACTGTGTTTACACCAACGTACGAGACACATACCAAGCCTTACCCCGCCCCCACCTAGGACTCTCAATCCAGTTCAATTCAGTTTTTTTATATAGCGCCAAATCACAACAAAGTTGTCTCAGGGCACTTTACAGGAACATTCACATACATAAAATCTAATAAGTAAAGTTCTCTATCTAAGGAATCCAGCAGACAAGATGAATCTTGGCTTCGTTGCAGTCTCCCATCCTGAGCAAGCACAGTGGAGACAGTGGAAAGAAAAACTCCCTTTTAAAAGGAAAAAACCTCCAGCAGAGTCTCTGACCCCACCTCCATTAGAGCTGTCATTTCTAACCCGAGCCCTAAGCCCGGCCCCCCCGACACGAATTCGGGCGGGCCGGGCCATGACAATGTCCTGGATGGGCAGGCCGGGTTGTGTTGGGCCGCAATCGAATTATATGATAACATGGCCTGCCATACTGTCATCAGCCGCATGCAGCCATTTCACCATGAGCTGACTGGCCTTAAAAGAGGTAGAAAAAAAGTTCAGTTAGGTGTCGGATGGGACTATACTGCCAGGAAGCAATCCATCACCCAAGTAGACATTCATTCAGCTGCTGCACTCAGTGGACGCGCACGGCCGATGACCCAAACAGGTGAGATCACAAAGCAGACGTGTCAGAGCAGGGTATGTGAATAAATCAGAATGCAGGCAGAAACGGAATAAATGCTCTTTACGGCCATGAAAGGATGAACACCACCTCAGCTCCAATCTTATGCACCTTTTATTCAGTTGCACATCCCTGACATTACATAAAATTACATAAAATGTTTACTTCAGAATAGGATCTGCTTCATTACATGTTTGTTTCTTACCTGAAATATTTTAATACATCAAATGTTTACTACAAATGTGATCAATTTCATCATGTTTACATGTTTCTTAAAGTGCTGAATCAAATGTTTCATGAATGTTTACCACATGAATTTTTATTAAATGAGAAAAAAAAACACTTATGTTATTATTCAACTGTAAAAATATTTCAAATCAATGAATGCAGCAAATATTTTTTTCTCCAATCTACATTTTACATATATCAGTAGCAGCATGTGCAGATTTCATTAGCATTAGGTTTACAACCATGTTCACTAAAGTGCAGCACACACACAATCTGTGTGTCACCTCTTCACCCTCACATGTAAGCACCAGTATAGTTAACTGGTATAGTTCTGTGTAACGTTTTGTATTTGTTTCTCATGCAGCCTATCACTCTTTCCACATGAATTCTAAGGTGTGCTCGTGTGTTTGCAACATGCTTAGCATCAAGATGACATCTCCCTTTAGTAAATGATGGAATTTTAACTGGGGCAGACTGGGAAAATAATCCAGGCCAGGTCACTACCGCCCGATTAATGCAAACCACCAAGACTGAGTTAAGTTGAGCGCACTTTGAATGCATGCTGTCTGTACACATCATCAACTGAATACCTACAATATAAATGTTTCTGCTGTGGTGCAATAATCCATCCTCAAATCACATAAACTGAAATTATGTTACTCTGCATTTTGCTATGCATAAGCTCTTTTAAACTCCCTAGGAATATGACAAGCAATCATAGTTTCATACAGCAAATGAGAGGTACACAGGTGGTGCACTACAGATGTGCCAGTTTATTTTTAATCACATTAAACACATTTTTAATTTAAACAAATTTTTACTCACTTTAGTAAAATAAATTAAAAAACTTCATAAGAACCACAAAAAAGGTTAAATCATTTCATCTGGACCAGTCCCTTTAAGGGAGAAACGTTTCGTCTTCCATCTGGAAGACTTTATCAGTCTGTGGTCTGCCAACCAGATCTGTCCCTTTGTTAATAAGAACCAGTTTTCACCACTACTACTAGTACACAAGCAGGCGGCGCAGGTGATCACTACTCTCAGCTGTTCTATCAATAATATCCTCTTTGTCCATTTCCATCAGCACCTCTTTCTCTGTTGCTATCAAAAGAAATGCTCCAAGGTTCTCTTGACTGAGGAAGGTTCTTAGGCAGTTATTCGCCAACTTCAGGGTGGAGAAGGTCCTCTCACAGGCAACCTGAGTGATAGGTAGTGTGAGGAGGAACTTGTAGCCCAAACCAATGATATGATATGCATCAGTGAGCAGATTGTATTGTGAAAGAAGTATATAACAGCATATTGGGCAGTTTTTACACGTGGAAATATTTCTGCTCAACAGCTCCACACTTTCATCAGTGTCCTCCATGCATTTGTCTGTTTCATCGCTAGAAGCAGTGGTCCTGATGTTGTAGTTATCCAGTGGTGACTGTTTTAATCTGTGCAAAGTTGATCAGTTCAGCCTGCAATCTATCACCACTGGCACGTCCATCAATTTCCAGCAGGCATTTGCTGAGCTCTTTCATGGCAGTGTCTGGAAGGCCTTTCTCCCTGATGTCCGGGAAACGTCCTGATGGCCTGATGATGTTGCTCTTTGGCCCAGCACAGAAGAACATCATCCAGAACAGAGGTGACTCTTTCAGGGATGAAGATGTTCACATCCTTGATAGAGAGGAACGATGGTTTGAGAGAGTGAAGGAAGCCATCTTTGTGAAGAGAACCCGTCCATCATTAAACAGATACAGAGGCCTCCATATTCAACTGTCCCCCTCTTACAGTGCTGTTATTGCTAGGGGCCGTTTACATGGCGCATATTTTGAGTGAATCCGCTCCTTTCTCTCTGCGATTCTGTTGTTCATTTACACGACACCAGTGGCCCCCCTCTTTGAATCTTGAGGTTTCTGAACCTACCTCCCAGAGTGGAGGTTTTTGGCTGACTGCCCACTGATAATGTAAACATCTCTCGCTGAGGCTTTGTGTTAAACCACATACCGCACACACGCACGGT